ATAATATATTTTAAATAATAATTTTTAAAATAAGGTAGCTAGTCAATAATAAAATTAATCCTAGAAGAATCTGATTGTGATTTAATATTAGAAGGAAACGAAGGAGACCCCTGATGTGGGACTGTAGAATCAGCACTGGACTTCAAACCGCAGGTCAGCAGTTCAAGCGCTCATTTGCTCATTGGCACATAACAATAATAGTAACAACAACAAAGATGTGACTGGGTGAAAGAGAATCCTTAAACTTTGATTACCTGTATCCACTGAGAAAATAAAAAATCCATGTTCTCCTTTGCAGGAGATGATAAAGTGCTCCGGCTGTGGCATCCCAATATAAGCACCAAACCAGTGGGGAAACTTGTTGGGCACATGTTCAGCATCACTGAAATTGTAACAAATGAAAAGGATCAACATGTCATCAGCCTTTCTTCTGCCAAGGTAACCAAAAGAAAATAATAAAAGCTGAATAAAGGATTTTTTCCCTTTAAAACTAACTATTGGAAAGCCTAGAATATATATTTTGGACTGATATGTCCCATAAGTTTTCCAAGGTTGTAAATCTTTAGTGGAAGCAGACTTACACATCTTTTCTCTCCAACCACCAATCATTTAGTCAGTTACTAAGCACGTTAACCATTTTGACCACTGACCTAGGGCATGTGAAATAGCTGATGTTGTTAAATGCCATCTAGTCAGTTCAGGCTGATGACGACTCTGTATAGGGCTTCCAGGGAGCAGCTGGTTAGTTTGAATACAGTGCCACACCAGGAGTCCATAGCCACTCCCTGGAAACCCGGTACAGATCGTTATGATTAGGAACCAAGTCAACATCACTTAACAACAGCACAACTAGTAAGAGATAAGGCAATAACCCACTGAGGTTGTCTGCCTCCAGTGGCGGGATCTTCCAACAAAGATAAAACTAGGAAGAGAGATAGGTAGAAAGGAGGTCCTTAGATTTTATACAGTGTGAATCTTTTTCCTTGATATAATACCTGATAATTAAAAAGTAAATTTTAAAAAGTCATATTGATGCCTTCATTTTATTTTCTATTTGCCACATAGCAAAGAGGGAAAATGTGAGAACAAGATGATAAAATTGTTCAACAGTTCTATATTACTCTTTTTAAAAAGTTTTTTTCTTCTTCAGTTATTTGTATGTCCTAATGTAGAATCGATACATTCTTGCATTTAGTTCACTACACATACAATGTTCTATAACTACCAATTGCACTTCACTGTTATGCATTTTCAAGTTTTTAAATATACCATTGATCTATAGTATTATAGCATTGTAGAGTAACACCACAGTCTGCTTAAAGTAAAAGTAACTGAAAGAGGCCTTCTAAAACTTCTTTGAAAAATGGAATTAAAAAATAATGCTTGTCTTTTGTTCGCAAACTTTTTGAAGCACCCTCATTTGTAGGATTACAAGACTGGTTTGTTGTTGTTGTTATGTGCCATGGAGTCGGTTCCGACTCATAGCGACCCTGTACAGGTTTTCCGAGGCTGTTAATCTTTATGGGAGCAGAATGCCTCATTCTCCCGCGGAACAGCTGGCAGATTCGAACTGCTGACCTTGTGGTCTGCAGCCCGATTTGTAACCACTACACTACAAGAGCTCCTTGGAAGCTCCTTAAGGATACATAATTGCAAGTGTATCTGCTCTTCAGTTTATTATATGGGGTTGGGGGTGGACTGTCACATGACAATGGCAGGACAGGTTTTTTGGGTAACCTGCCATAAAAATTGCTTATTCAGTCGTGTCTGCTTCAGGGGGTTCATTGTAAAGATTTATTTATAATGCTGTGCATCAAGTCACTTTGTGTATACGGTAGCTAGCACATCTTTCATCTATTTGACCACAGTGGAAAGGCCCTCTGGAAATAGATTGTGATGTATTTCATCTGCCATTGTTTCTTAGAGAGAAAGAATTTCTCCTTTAGAGTATATGGTTATGTCACCATCAAGGGTAGGTCAACATCAAGTTTAGAGGTAATGTTGTTAGAAAAGGCAGCTTTAAATTTCCACATGGATTGTGAAGACTTTAACATGGATTTAAAGCTTTGCTTTCAGATTGCTTTATCTACACACTTGATTTTAGACTCTCATTCAGTTTCCTTCCTCTTACAGTTTCCCTCCCTCCATACATTTTCCCTCCTTTTAATCGTGGATTTTATTTAAAATCATTTGATTAAATTTAGGTGTGATGTTTTCTTCTGCTAGGACTGGTTGATGAGTCTTTTAGATGATTGTTTGTTTTAGGATAAGCCTTTAAGAACCCCTGGACACGATCTCTTTTGATAGCTGGGGACCATTAATGTTTTCACTATGCTTTGCAATACCACCCAGTATTCAGTGATCTTTTAAAGAAAGATTAATGTGGAGTATGGCCACATTAGTGGTATTACTTGGTTGTTATGTAATTATTGTTGTTGTTATTAGGTGCCGTTGAGGTAGTTCTGACCCATAGAAACCCTATGTACCATATAACAAAACACCACCCAATCCAGCACCATCCTCACAACTGCTGCTATGCTTGAGCCCTTTGCTACTGCCGCTGTGCCAATCCATCTAGATGATGGAGATCTCCCTCTTTTTCCTTATCCCTCAACTATACCAAACATGATGTACTCTTCTCCGAGGATTGCTCCTCACACGAGATGCAGTCGGGCCAATTGCATAACAAAGTAACAAAAAAAGCCAGACTTCGTTATGTAATTGTTGTTGTTGTTAAGTGCTATTGAGTTAGTTCTGACTCATAGCAACCCTGTATAGGGTTTCCGAGGAGCAGCTGCTGAGTTTGAACTGATGACCTTGTGATCCAAACTAACCTTGTAGTCTGGTTTTCATCCTACAGCGCTACACCAGGAGGAAGTCTTTAAAGTAGGACTCAAGTCCATTTAAAGTCTTTAAAGTAGGACTCAAGGAGCTCTGGTAGCGTAGTGGTTACGAATCGGGCTGTGAACCTCAAGGTCAGCAGTTCGAAACTACTAGCAGTTCCGAGGGAGAAAGATGAGGCATTCTGCTCCCGTAAAGATTTACAGCCTTGGAAACTCTGTGCAGGGTCACTATGAGTCGGAACTGACTCCACGGTACTCAACAACAACAACAAGTCCATTAGTAGAATAAGTGTCATTTATTTATGTAAGCCACATAATAAATAATATGTTAGTTCTCTGGGTCAAAGTATTGTCAATTCTTATACAAAGTTCAGTTGTTTCAATGATAATAGCAATAGATGTAAGTTTTGGCAGCGTTGTAACTTATTTCTTTCATAGTGGTGGATACACTCCTAATGATGTGTTCTGTATCAGTGAATCCATACCAAAGAGGGAAGGTTCTTAAAAATTAGAATCCTAAGTTGGCTGGGACACTAAAATGGCTTAAGGTACATTGACCCATCATTCTAAAACCAGTGAGACACAACAGTGCCCAAGCATGAAGTGCAGGAGTTAGATTTGGGTTTTTATCTTCTGGTTTCCTTTACCTTCCACATAAGGATATGTAGCTCTGAGACATAAGGAGTTCTGGTGTGGCACTGTAAGCTAAGTACTGGACTGCTAACCACAAGGTCAATAGTTCAAACCTATCAGCGTCCCCTTGGAAACTCTATACATGGTCTCCATGAGTCAGAAACGACTCAATGGCACTTAACAACAACAAAGAAACATAATGTTCATCCTTTCTAGTACTGTTATCTCGTATGATTATCTAGCATGTGAAAGCTATACAATGAATAAGGAAGACCCAAGAAGAATCGTCCAATTGAAGTATGGTGTT